AAAAAGAGACTGCTCTTCCCCCAGTTACTCCCAGTAACCCCGTGCCTCCTCACCCCTTTACCTTCCTCAGTGTGCGCAGATGCAGCTCAACTGAGATTTACAGATTTTCTTTCAGCTCTACCTTCCTTTCGTACCAGACTTCTCACACACACTGTAAAAAAGAGTTGCTGCATCCCACCCATCCCATCTTTGGGCGTACATCCAAACGGCTCAAAGCAGGATCTCCAAGCGATCATCACACATCTACGCTCACCACAGCTTCATCCACAACAGCCATGAGATAGAAGTGACCGAAATCTCCATCAGCAGATGAACGGATAAAGAGAATGTGGCATACACATAAAACGGAATATTATGCAGCCTTAAAACAAGACGGAAATCCTGTACCATCCTGCCACATGGAGGAACCTCCAGGGCGTTAACAATAAGCAAAGTAACAGTAATATAGGATTCCACTTACATAAGGTATCCTAAGTAGTCAAAACCATAGAAACAGAAAATCGACAGGCGGCTACCAAGGCCGGGAGGAAGGGAGGGGGAAAATTAGTGTGTAGTGGGTATAGAGTTTCTGAGTTGCAAGATGAAAAAGTTCTGGAGATCTGTCTGTTGCCCCACAATGTGAATATACTTATCACTACGGAACTGCACACTTAAAAATGGTTAAGATAGTAAATTTCACACTGTTTTTTACCATAATAAAAAAAATTGTTGCTGCAAACAGTGGTACAAATACAAGTCCATCAAGCCCTTCTTCCCTGATCCCCGACTCCTACTACTTCCTCTTCTCACATCTAACAATATACACTCTGGGCCCAGTGCTCCCCCCACACACATCTTCCTTGGCACATACCTCCGTGCCCTCATACCAGCTGGCTTGGGATTAAAATGGACCAAGCTAGGAAGTGCCAGAGAGAGTGCGGCCTATTGTATCGAATTTCCTTGGCCTTTTATAGGGATGCACCATGAACCCAGCAAATGCAGTGCGGGGGCCTGAGAACGAGGCCTGTGGTGCTCTAAACCTGGCTCAGTCGCCAATTAGCTGGAGCAAGCCATTTCGTCCTCTGAACCTCCTCCTCTCTATGAAAATATGAGGCTGGCCCAGGTGATCCCTAAGGCCTTCCAGTTCTGAAAGCCTAAAGGTTCCCTGGTTCAATTGTCCAAGAACAGGAAAACTGGCAAGCCCACTAATTTGAGCCTTCTAAAGTGATTCTTCAAGTCCCTTTATCATCTTTTACTCAATTCCCTTGTCTGTTTAGATACACAAGAGTTTTTTTTTTCATTTTATGAAAATAATAAAAATAGTATCATTATACCAAAATTCTACTGATAATCATTTTTGGACAGACACCTAGAGAGTGTTCTAGGCCCCCCTGAGATAGCAGTGTGGACTTATTAATACTTCACATGAGCTATTGGATAAAAGTGTTAGTCACCCTCTGGTACACAGGAACAGACAGAGGAAAGGGCGCTGACCTCCTCCCATGCCTCACTTCAAATCAGCAAACATTACTGAGGAACATTTCTGTGCCAGGTGCCAAGCTAGGTACTGGGACACAAGATAACCATCACTAAACCCAAGGAGCTCAGAGTCCAGTAGGGGAAACCCGGAGTGTCTCAGTTAGTAGCAAAATAAAAAGAGATTTCTTTCTGCTAAGAAGGCCAACCATACTGGAGAGTAGAGACAAACAGGGAGGGTGGGGAAAGGGGGAAGGGGCAGTTAGGCCACTAGGTTTGGTAACCTGGATGGCCCTCACAACTAAAGCACCACACCAAGAAGCGAAGGACTGTGTCTGCTGGGCCATCACCACTTTCCGCAGCAAGTCGGCTGAACTTAAAACTGAACAGGTGACTTGAAGGTGAAGGCTGATGATGGAAAGGACAGCCTCTTCCTTCCTCCCATGACCAGCACAGTCAGCCGCTCAAGCCTCTGAAAAAAATTGTGTTTTTTTTTTATAGTCGGTTGTCCCTGTCCTTACATTTGAACCACCCCACTGGTCAGCAAAGCATTTAAACTCTTGGATGAGAGTGCCTTTACACACCTGGGGCAGCCCAGTGCAGAGAAACAGTGGGGCTCCGTGATGGTTTGGGTAACCCTGGGCTAGTCAACCTGTCTTCTATGTACAATGCGTGTCTGATACTCACTTCCCTAGGTGATGAAAAGATGCCTACAAAGCTCAAAAGAAATATAAAAAGCGCTTATCAGGCATTCGATGTCAACCACCACCACAGAAGTAATCTATACAAAGCTGTCACTGCTTGACCGAGTCAAAAACTTTCACCTTGGAAATTGCACCTAAATTCTACACTTCGCTTTTCCAGGAGAACAGACACTGCTCAGAAGTAAACCAAGTACTTCCCTCTGTGGCTGCCTCTGGTCAGGCTCCTCTGTGCTCCATCACACCAGCTGCTGAGGAATTTACTGTTTGCTGACCAGCTGCTTGTAAGGAATGGGAACAAGTGAGGAAGGTTTCAGGAGTGGAGCGGAGGAGTGAGGGAAATCTCTCTACACAGAGGGAGGCTTCCATATCACATGTCTTCAATACATCGGACTCATCAGCTCATCCTTGAAAGCTTCTGACATTCCTTCTCTGCTCCACAGAAAAGTTATTGTTTACTGGACTCTAGAAGCAATCCCCGTACTTGCTTGCGGGTTACCCCAGCAAACATTTTTTATTATGCAGTCACTGTACCACAACCCAAGGACTAAATGAAACACTGCACACATCACCAGCACATTTTCAGATGACCCGGAATAATCCCAAGTCCTTGATCTGCAGCACATATTATTGGAACACTGTGAATTCAACAAACTCCTTGGAAAAAACACACTTCACATGTGTGTACCTAAACATACACACGGTCTAAGCCAACAGTCCTACGCTGGTTCCGTGAAGAACCATTCAAATACAAGTGATACTTTCATTACTAGTGAAGAATATTCCATCTATGTTAATTACATAGAAATACAGTCATGAAAAGAGGCACCGAAAAAAACCTTGAAAGGATAAGCAAAAAGGAAAAAAATGACAGGCAAAGTATGGCTGCAATTTTTAATGTCACATTTAAGATAGTGTTCTGTCTGGGTTTGGGGATTAGTTCTGTATGTCTGTGTAAGGAAAGGGGCTGCTGAACTCTTCCCTCTAGAGTAGGATGAAACAAGCCACTCAGTAGCACCAGAAATAAGCCCATCAGAACAGTGGGGACATGCAGTCTCTTTAAGAGAGGTATCAAGAAAAGTCACAGAAAGAATTGCTTTTTGTTTGTTTTCAGCCTAAAATTACCGCCCCGTCGTTGGTCCAGGTTTTCCTGATGTGGGATTTATTGCCATCGAATACAATTTACTGATTTAATACCCTATTATTTAGGTACCTCTGTTTGTGTTATGAAGTGTCAAATTAGATTATCCGTACCGTGCTCATCGTAGAATCTAATTTATACAGCAAAAGAAACTAGTTTTGAAGTATCCAAGTACCTTAAATTATTTACTGCGATACCCTCTCCACCAGACATTCTGCTGCCCCCAGGTAGCTACAAACACAAAAGCCCTCAAGTGCCCCTGGGCATTTTTGTGAGGCAAAAACAAAGAAACCCAACCCACTTTTTTAGTTCACTTTAGCCCTGTGTTAAAAATCCATGAAAATCTCACCTGATGAGAAACACTAAAATCTGAGTCTAATTACGAAAACCTAGTAAGCAAATATAATAAAACACTGTTTCATTTAAACAGATCCTATTGGAAAAGCAGTGTTGAAACAGGAAAGATTTCTCTAATTCCCCCCAGATGAGGAAAACAGGTTATTTGTTCATTGTTTCTGCAGCGTCCACTCAATGAGCACATATTAAATGGGCCAAGCTGAAAACAAACAAACTTCAGTGGCTTCAGCCTCTCACAGAAGCAGAAGGCTTTTCCACCTGGGGACTGATGGAATAGTGAAATAAATAAAGTGCACAATATACACAGCCATGGGAAAAATAATTGGGGGAAATGGACAAATCATCCTGCCTCCTCACGGTGGCAAACTTTACAACTTTTTAGAAGCAACAAACCACAGTACCACCAGCTCTATAGATGCAGACATATATACGTGTACACACACGACTACTTGGAAGCCAAGTACGGTGTTTGCAAACATCCACCACCCTGCATTTACAATACTGCAAAACACGACCAGAAAGCCGGGAGATTTCTACTCTTAGATATCCTCTCTGCACTGTCAAACAGGGAAGGTCACTTTGCCTGGTCACTTAGATAATTCTCTCTCTCTCTCTCTCTCTCTGCAACACAGGAGTTTTCTACTTTGGGATTACTCAACTTTCACATGCATGGGAGTAAAATAAGCATTCGGCAACTTATTTACCTCGGTTTAAAAAAGAAAGAGAGAAATTCATTGTGCAAATGCCCAGGAAAAGCTGACACCAGGACTGTCTCTCCGACAGCGCTTGCAATTACAATCAGAGGAGGGGAAAAAAATCCAGTCTGATCTGACCCAGGCAGTCTCTAAGGGGGAAAAAAAAAAAAAAAGATTGCATCCCCAACGGGGGCTGAGGAACTTTTTTTTTCCTAAGGAGACCACCCCTCAGGAACAAAAGTTACATTTCAGTCACATGTTGGGAGTAGGAGTAGGGTTTTTTTTTCTTTTCTTTCTTTCTTTTTTTTTTTTTTTACAAAAGCGCACTAATTACGGGGGTGTTTTACAGTTCTCGAGACCACTCGGGTACCTCCTGGCCAATTGTGTCGGGCATTTAATTGTCAAAAAGGTAGGGGGTGGGGTAGGGGGCAAGAAGCCGAGAGGGGGCTCGGCGGGGGGAGCAGCAAGGTTACACGAAAGGGTACAGCCGCCGCCGCCGCCGCGAGCTGCATCTCCTTCCCTGCCGCCCCAAATAATTCACTGCGTCCGGAGCAACTGCCACAGCCCCCTCGGAGGAGCCCAGCAGGACTGCCCCGGCCGGTGCAGCTCAAGATTTTCGAGCACAGAGAGGGAGGGGGAGAAGATCTTTACCTTAATGCTACACTGAGCAGGAGTCTCAGACATGTCTCACAGCGAGAGAGATCAGGAAGTTCTCAGTTTTTTTCCACTTTCCTTTCCTCTCCCCAACCCAGAAGCGCTCCACGGCCAGCCGGACGCGGTCATTTAAGAAGTTTCTTGCAGCATCTCTCCCGGCAGCCGCCCCGGGGGTCTGCGAGCGCGCGGGGCGGGGCGGGGCGGCCGGCGGAGTTGGGTGCGCGGGGCGGCGGGGGCGTGGGAGCCGGGCCGGAGCGCGGCGGCGGGCTCTGCAGGTCGCGGCGCGGCGACCCGGGGCGCAGCCCGGCCGGCCTCCCGCTCTCTCCTCCCACCCGCGGCCGGCGCCCCCGCCCCCCGCCCTCCCGCCGCTCTCCCTCGCTCTCTCGAATGTTTTCCTTCCTGGAAGAGAGAAACTGAAAGGCAGAACTGAGAAAGCTCTTTGCTCATTGATCTTGAGAGTTTCAGTGCAGAAACTGACGTGAATTCCCAGCACTGAGCTCTGCCTCTTAAAGGAGCCACCAGGAAATAAAAGCTCGGGTTACAGCCCGGCATCGGGGAAATAAAAGCCGGGCGGGGGGAGGGGCGGCGGCGGCGGAGGGAAGCCGGGGAAGCGGGGCCGCGCGAGGCCGCGGCCGGCGGCGGAGCGCGCGGCGCAGCCCCCCGCAGCGCGGCCCACGCGCGCCCGCAGCGAACCCGTCCGCCTGCGGGGGAGCCGGGCTGCCCAGGCGCGGCCGAGCAATAGCCTGGTCTAGGGAGACACGTTGAAAAAAACGTTACGCTGGGGCCCCAGAAACCACAAGACAGATTTTTATGAAACGCCTCCCACCTTCCCCGGCTGCGTCTCTCAGATACACTGAAATGCACAGGGGCTCTCCCCCACCCCCCGCCCCAGCCCGAGCGCAGAAGCAAGGAGAATAATCATATATGAAGGGGCATTCCGGTAAGGACGCGGAATCCAAAGGAGGAAATAAAACAATAGCCTTTGTTCTGCTTCTCGACCGCTGCCTCTTTAAGAGAATCCACCAGGAAATGGGAGATCGGGTTACAGCCTGCACACGGGGAAATGTGGGAGCGCGAGCGCCGGAGCGCGACGCCGCCGGAGACAAAGCCGGGCGGCCGCGCAGCAGACGCAGGGGGACGGCCGGGTTGGGGGGGATTCCCCGCGAAGGTGGGCGCCCCGAAAAGAGCAGGCGCCGCGCGCGCCCGGTGGGGGGGCCGGGGGGGGAATGCGGCCGCCGCAAGCGCTTCCCCAACCGAGCACGCGTTCTGGGGAAGGGAAGGCTGCTGGGCAGTTATCAAAGGCGGTTGAGTTCCTTTTCCTGACCCCCCCCTTCCTGCCGTTTCGAAATCCGCTGTCCATTTAAAGAAATAGCGGCCGCTACCAACCGAAATAGGTGACTCGACTGCAAAGTTGACAGGACGTGTTCCTGAACATAATACCCCTCCCCGGGACCGCTTCTCTGAAACCGTCATTGGCCGGTTGGATGACCCTGGGATCCTGCCAGGGGAGGAATATTTGGCTGGAAAAACAATCGAAGGGAAGTAAAAGCCGGCGGGGCTGAGGGTTCTAGCCTTGAGCACATGTGGTCTGATCACTCTTGTTATTTTTATTGTCATTCATAGTCTCTTAAAATGCTCTGAAGTGGCCGCTGCAAAACACAGAACATAATTGTGTTTTAAATTCTAAACCCTGCTGATACACACATAGGGGTTAGGTGTGTGGATGTGTGTTATGTTACAAATATATAAATACATAGGTATGAATATGTACCTGTAATGTGTGTATATCTACTTGTAAAACAGGACAGATTTCCCAGATCCCCACGCTATAGATTTTTCCTACTCATCTTCCACTCTCCACGTTATAAAATGTATCCAGACCTCTTCACGCACTCATCAGGAAATTCTGAACCAGAATTGATTAAAAGGGGTTGGGGTTAAAAAAAAAAAAAAAAAGAGTCCTATTGCTGGCAGGTGGGAATTACGGGTTTTTGTGAGCCTCCAGGGATCTTACCAGTTTTTGTCACCTGGTAGTCATATCCTCCCCAAGAGATCTCATGTCCACAACGGCTCCTCTACCTTGGACCACTTGCCACCCACCTCTATCCCCCACCCCCTCACGCCCCCCAACAATTATCTTCCCTTGATCCCTCTACTTATGTTGCAGACATTGATTTTGATGTCCTATCGGTGGATTAAATCCTGTAAACCTCTATATCACTTATCAGTAAGATCCTCGGCAACTCTAAGCTTCTGTAAAAGGTTTGGAATAGTACCTATCTCATAAGATTCCTGTATTAAATGAGCAAATATATACAAAGTGCTTAATTACCTGAGTACTTGCTACATATAACATGTTCTCAATCTTAGCTACAATTAACTTAACCTCAGGACTGAATTAACTCTCAACTTCCATTTCTACCTCCTTTTTACCTTCTCCACGTGACCGTAGAAAGCATGTGATTCCAAAACAAAACAACAGTTGTGGAAATCTGTGCGTTTAGACCAGTTGGCAATTTCTTTCTATAAAGGGCCAGATAAAAAATATTTTAGAGTTTGTGTGCAAAGAGGCAAAACTGAGGGCATTATGCAGATATTTCTATAACAAGAGAGAAAATAAACATCCACATTATTGACAAAATGTAAGGTGTAATAATAATTGTAATCAAGTCTAATAATGAGAGGAATGGAATTACTTTTGTGGGGGATAACATTTTACTCAGTTGAACACCAGTTCAGAGTAATGGTTCTCTATCATCAAAACTAATTGTTTATCTGTTTATCTGTTAATGCTGATCTGTAGTGAAATTTTACATATTTCATTTTTGAAAATATTTTCTCACCCAGATAGGTACTGACAAATAACCCATGAGCATATGGTTTTACTTAAGCATATTCATTGCTTAGAAGGCATTTATACAATTCTATCACAATTCTGGGGCGCCTGGGTGGCTCAGTCGTTAAGCATCTGCCTTCGGCTCAGGTCATGATCCCAGCGTCCTGGGATCGAGCCCCACATAGAGCTCCCTGCTTGGCAGGAAGTCTGCTTCTCCCTCCTCCACTCTCTCTGTTTGTGTTCCCTCCCTCGCTGTCTCTCTCTCTGTCAAATAAATAAAAATAAAATCTTTAAAAAAAAATTCTATTACAATTCTATTAAGTTCTCTTGGTATTTCCCCTTTGCCTGCCATTACATTGCAGGTTAATCACTTTCAGTGGAAAATTAGGTGGAAGTGCACAGTAAAATGGATTTTAAGTACGGAAATTTCCTTTTCACTTGTATCATAATCCAAAAACCACTACTGGAATTGTAGTCTGACTTCAGAAAAAGGTAAGTGCTGAAAATTTGTGTTGGAATGGAGATCTTGCTTCTTGTTTTAACTTCTGATGGCATGGGAAGTTTATAAAGCAGCTCTTATTTGGGATTGCAACAATGTTAGTCATATCAAAATGATCTAACTACAGCATACACTTCACACATAGCTCCGTTTTGCCTTATCGTTTTAGGCTGAATTAATGAAAAACATCAAGTCTGTAGCAAACACTAATTTCCAAAGACATTTAGTGTTCAATAATCGTGGTTGGAGGAAGTTTTCACTTACTCATTCCAACTTGTCAATTGTTTCTCTATTCCGTTTCCTGAATCTTTGGCAAATTGGGTATTTTTTTCATATTCCTATGTTGTCTTTGTAGCTTTTCTCTTGTATGTTAAATATAGTGGTCCTCTAGAAATTGCAGTTTGCATCTTTAATTATAACTATCTTCAAATAATATTATTCTATTTTAAGAATATATAAGAAACTTACAACAGCATAATTCCATTTATCCCTCTCCCGTCCTTTATGATACTGGCATATATTTACTTCTATGTGTTCTAAAACCCACCATACATTGTTGGTGGGGGGGGTTGATATTTAAAAAATTGTAAATATGTGTATATAATGAAGGTACTAAAATATATGTGTCTTTTTTACTTGTCCTTTCTGATACTTTATTTCTTCTTGCAGATATGGTTTCATTTTTCTCTGGCCTCGAGAACTTTTGGCATTTCTTGAAGTACAGTTTGTTGGTGATAAAGTGTCTCAGCTTTTGTGTGAGGATGTCTTTATTTCACATTCATTTTTGAAGGATAATTTTCACTGTATATAAAATTTTAGGTTGACAATTCTATTTCCTTTTGGCACTTTAAATACATAATTCCATCTCTGTCTCCATAATTTTTGATTAAAAGTCATTTGTAGTTCATACTTTCACTCCCTGTGTACAGTATCTTTTTTTTCTCTAGCTGCTTTTAAGGTCTCTCTAAATTTAGCTTTCAAAATTTTGACTATGATGTGCCTAAGTGTGGTTTCCTTTGTATTTATTCTTCTTGATTTTGTCTGCAATTCTTGGGCTATAAGTTGATATCTTTCATTAGCTTGGGAAAATTCTCATCTGTTACCTCTCTGAATATTGTTTCTGCCCATTCTCTCTCTCCTGGCCTTTTATTACTCCAGTGATACAAATATTAGACCACATGACATTGTTCCATATATCTAAAATACTCTGTTGTTTTACTTTTTTTCTCTTTGTCTTTCAGTTTGGATGCCTTCCTTCTATTTATCTCTTTTTAAATTTCTTTCCTCTGTATTGTCCACCTTACTGTTAAGCCAACCCATCTAAATAGTTCTTTACTTGTGATACTGTGTTTTTTATTTTTAGTATTTCCATTTTTTTTATACTCTCCATCACTTTCCTGAAGTTACTCATATCTTCATACATGGCTTCTACCTTTTCCTTTAAGTCCTTTAGCATTTTTGTCACACTGTGATAATTCTGAAATCTGGACTATTTCTTGGTTAACTTCTATTGATGTTTTCCTTTCCTTTTTTAAAGATTTTTATTTATTTATTTGAGAGAGTGACAGAGAGTGTGCATGTGAGTGCACTCAAAAGCAGCGGGGGGAGGGGGGCAGAGTGATAGGAAGAAGCAGGCTCCCCACTGAGTAGGAAGCCCAACGCAGGGCTTGATCCCAGGACCCTGGATCATGACCTGAGCCGAACTGACTGAGCCTCCCC